GTTTTCATGCTTGTTAACACAACATCCATCCTCCAGTACATGGATCAAGGAGTACTTTTTTTATTATTATTCATTTATTCATATATGCATACATTGTTTGGGTCATTTATTCCTCCTGCCCCCTCTCCCCCCTCCATTACAGGCAGAACCTGTTCTGTGATTTTCTCCAGTTCCATTGAAGAGTAGAAATAAGCAATAATAAGAAAGACATGGCATTTTTGCTAGTTGAGATAAGGACAGCTATACAGAGAGATTCCTAGCATTGCTTTCATGTACAAACGTGTTACAACCCAGGTTGAGTCATCTCTAACTGATCTTTACACTAGTTCCTGATCCCTTTCTCATGTTGACCTTTATCGCTTTAAGGTTTCTGTATTAATTCCTCTGGAGTGGGGACATCAAATGTTTTCATGCTTTGGGTTTTCTATCTAACCCCATACCTCCTGTATATGTTCTCCCCTTGTCATGTCACCTAAGTCCTATAACATTGCTGTATTTCCCCTTGATCTAAAGACCACATATGAGAGAGAATGTATGATTTTTGGTCTTCTGAGTCTGGCTAACTTCTCTCAGAATTATGTTCGCCAGTTCCATCCATTTACTTGCAAATGGTAAGATTTCATTTTTCTTCATGGCTGAGTAAAATTCCATTGTGTATAAATATCACATTTTCTTGATCCATTCATCAGAAGTGGGGCATCTTGGTTTTTTCCATAACTTGGCTAATGTGAATAGTGCTGCAATAAACATGGGTGTGCAGGTGATTTTGGAGTAACCTGTGTCACATTCCTTTGGGTATATCCCCAGGAGTGGGATTGCTGGATCATATGGCAGATCTATATTTAGATTTTTAAGAAGCCTCCAAATTTTTTTCCAGAGTGGTTGTACCAGCTTGCATTCCACCAGCAGTATACGAGTGTTCCTTTTTCCCCACATCCTCGCCAACACATGTTGTTGGTGGTATTTTTGATGATGGCTGTTCTACCAGGGGTGAGGTGGAATCTTAATGTGGTTTTGATTTGCATTTCCTTTATGGCTAGAGATGGTGAGCATTTTTTCATGTGTTTTTTGGCCATTTGAATTTCTTCTTTTGAGAAAGTTCTGTTTAGTTCACTTGCCCATTTCTTTATTGGTTCATTAATTTTGAGAGAATTTAGTTTTTTGAGTTCCCTATATATTCTGGTTACCAGTCCTTTGTCTGATATGTAGCTAGCAAATATTTTCTCCCACTCTGTGGGTGGTCTCTTCAGTTTAGAAACCATTTCTTTTGTTGTGCAGAAGCTTTTTAATTTTATGAAGTCCCATTTGTCCATTCTTTCTCTTAGTTGCTGGGCTTCTGGGGTTCTATTGAGGAAGTCCTTGCTGATACCTATTAGTTCCAGAGTGTTTCCTGCTCCTTCCTGTACTAACTTCAGAGTTACAGGTCTGATATTAAGGTCTCAAGGAATACTTTTGATTTTCTAAACTTATTATTTAAAAATATATTTCGAAAGGTAATATCTGGCACTGATAGTGATGATTCTGATGGAGATGCAAAAAGTAAATTGAAAAGCTTCAGGAAAGGATCCACCATTCTAAACGTCATCAAGATCATTTTTGATTCATGGGAAATGGTCAAAATGTCAACATGAATTAGAGTTTGGAAGAAGTAGATTCCACTTCTTAACAATGTTAATCTTCATGGATAACATTGAGCGGTTTAGGACTTCAGTGGAAGTACACATAGATGTGGTGAAAGTAGCAAGAGAACTACAATTAGAAATGGAGCCTGAAGATGTGACTTGCTACATGCTTCATGATAAAGCTCTAATGGATGAGGAGTTGCTTTTTATGGGTAACAAAGGAAAGTTGCAGCTCAGGATGGAATATGCTTCTGGTAAAGACACAGTGAACATGTTTGGAGCAACAACTAAGTATTTAAAATATTTCATGAACTTGATAAAGTAGTGACAGAGTCTGAGAAGATTGTTCTCAATTTTAAAAGAAGTTCTATCTTAGGTAAGAGGAGAAATTTTTATAAATGAGAGTCAATTGGTAAGGACAGACTTCACTGTTGTCTTGCCACCCTAACCCATATCAACTACCACCCCAATCAGCCAGCAGCAGTTGACACTGAGACAAGACCCTCCCCCAGCAAGAACACTATGTCTGTGTTTGTTAGAATTTTTAGCAATAAGGTACTTTTAATTAAGGTTGTACATTGTTTTTTTAGGCATAATGCTATTGCATACTTAATAGATTGCAGTGTAGTATAAACATGACTCTTATATGTGCTAGGAAACCCAAAACTTCTTATTATTCACTTTATTGTGGTCGTCTGGAACTGCCTACAGTATCTCCACAGTATGCCTATAGCATCACCTTATAGATGAATAGTGACTAAATGAACATTGTACTGTCAGTATAATTAGAACTGCATTTTACAGTATACTTTCAATACTTTCACTTGCATGTAGCCAAATGCTATACATTTTTCCATAAATATGACTTAGTTAGTTAGTTAACTAACTAACATATAGTGAATGTTATTCTTCCATTATCTTAGTTTGGAAAACTGAGGATAATTAATATTAAACAGCATGCTGGCTACCAAATGGGAAGCTGAACAGCTGTGATTTGAACTCAGCACTTGAAGATTTCAAAGCTGCTATGCATAACCATGAATCTATAGTTCTTGCCTAATTTGATAAGTTTTTATTTAGAAGTGTGAAAATTAGTGGATTCAGGTGTGGTTCAAAAGAACTACAATGAGATCTGAGCACCTGTACCTCACACCTGTAATCCTAGCTACTTGGGAGGCTAATATTGGGAAGATCATGGTTCAAGGTCACCCTGAGGAAAAATATTTGTGAGACCCCCCCCCCATCTCAAAGGGAAAAAGATGGGTTTGGTGGTGCACCCCTGTAACCTCAGCTACTATAAGAAGCATGAAATAAGAAGATCATGGTCCAGGTCTGTCTAGGCAAAAAACAAGACCCTACTTCCAAAATAACCATAGCAAAAAGGGCTGAAGACATGATTCCAGCAGTAGAAAGCCTCCCTACCAAGTGTGACACCCTGAGTTCAAATCCCAGTATTACCAAAAAAAAAAGAAAGAAAGAAAGAAAAAGAAATCACAGCATAGCTTAAAACCAAGCCACCATGATCCCTACAACCAGCACAAAAAGCTCCACCTGATTCTCCACAGTAAGTCCTCCCTAATTAAAAGGGAAAAAAAGAACTCCAGTGAGAAGAAATCAAATAGAACATGAATGACCTTCTCTGTTCATACACATGGACTCAAAACCTCATTATTCATTTGAGAAAAACTTCTGTCTTGACTATTCAAAGGAAAGTAAGTGCAACAATTTTTTATTGCTTTCGGTATCCAAGGCAAAATTACAGGTCCTCATTCCTGTGCCTCAGTCACTGGAAAAAACCTTTTAAAAATAAAATAAAGCACCAGTGGAATTCAAACACATCTAGCAGATGGGGAAGGTTAAGGTATATGTAAATGTATTTGTAAAGAATATTTAATTTATCTTTTAGGAATGTTAGCTAAGAACACCTATTTTGTGCAGAATGCATCACTAAGAGAAAACAGCAACCATCTTAGCAATAAGCTTCTTCTATTCTAAATTGGTAGAAGCAAGACACTATATCCTTATTACAATCCTCAGCAAATGAATTAAGAAATAACGTGATTAAATTTCTTATAACTTTCTTCATATGTGTTATCTATTAGAAAGGTAGAAAGAACTATAGCAAAATGTCACTTTATCTCTCATAACATTTCTAGAAAAGTATTTTCATAATCTATAAAATAAATCTATTATGTAAAGTCTCCATACCTATAATAAAAAACAGCCAAATTATAACTAAAATATTAATATTATCTGTACTCACACTAAATGATACTCCACTTTTTAAAAACTGCTTAAAATATTGCTGACATATGGCAAATGTACAAAAAGTGCACAGATCATAAGAGTATTAATAATTGGGAGATTTAAAAGATAAAATTGTTTTTCCAGGCTTGTATGTCTGTGACTTCTTTATCTGACAATTAACTATAGATTTCCTCTATTGAGTTTGCAAATATAAAACTAAGTATAAATTGTCATGTCTATGTATACAACAGTGCATTACTTCATTCTCTCTCTCTCTCTCTCTCTCTCTCTCTCACACACACACACACACACACAAACACACACACACACACACACCCCTCCCTTTTCCCCCTCTTTCTCAGTGCTGGGAATCAAACCCAAGGCCTCATGCAAGGGCTCCACACTGAGCTACACTCCCAGCCCCTGTTTTCTATCTGTTAATGTGACTTAAGGGTCTCTGTGGTTGCAGTCATGCCTTACTCATCTTTGTTGTTCCAGCACTAGGTGAATATAAAAAACAACACGCTTTGTGTAGTTAATTCATATAATTCCTCCTTGAAAAGTCCATAGTAATTAGCAGCAATGATCCTGAACTGCTGAAGTGGGGAGTCAGAAGAACTGGCAAGTAAGAGAATGAAAGAGGTGGAAACTGTGCTTAATTAAACCCACTTTGTTGACAGTAAATTTAAGAATTAACCACTTAACATCTCTCCAAATGTTCTTATCTGTTGTATGAGCCCTGTTATACAGCTACTATCAGAGGACCATGCAGACACTAGTTTTCATGTCGTCTCTATGTCAAAGTAGTATTAGTACCTAGTTCACAGAGACTTCATTTTGATAGTTAAAAAATTTCTGAGAAAAGAAAGGGAAAATTAAGTGAGAAAATAAAGTATTTAAACCCGTCTACTGAACTTTTTCAGTCTTCAAAGGGTTACCTGAACTCCTGCTAACTCAACTTGCCAGACTTAAACACAGCCATGGTGGAGAGGACAGTGAAACTGTACTATAAAAATAAATTACTGTCATGAATATTAAGCAACAAGAATATAATAAACATGACTGCTTGCAGGGTTCTGATTTATTGGTACTGATATGCTTATAAATTATGACACTAAGTGTTTATTCTAGTTGTTTCAGAATATGGGCCAAACAAAGCTGGATGGACATTTCCTGAGACCTGACCATCTGCCACCAAATTCCTACTTCCCTGCTCCTGTTGTGTGTTGGTGGCATCAGAACCATGTGTGAGCAACCTTCCCTTTGGTTTATTCTGCAAATGGAAGTAAATTTTCTTTGCAGGATGTGGTGTTCCAATTGCCATCAGAGAAATCCCGCTTTCTCACAGAGAAGCAAATCTACCTCCAAAGCAACCAAAGGCTCCTCCTCCTTGCTTTGTTCAACAGTGCTCACTTTGACATAAGATGGTCCACTCCTATATTTACCAATCTTTTGGCACCTGATTTGAGATTATCTCATTGCTAAGTTGCATTGTGTTTTGCATACTCATTTAGCAGTAGGTACTCTAGATCACAAGTGCTGAGAGGTTAGAGACAAAAAAGAGGCCTAGTGGGAATGTTAATTAGTGCAACCACTATGGAAGTCAGCATAGATGTTCCACAAAAAACTAAAAATAGCCAGTGTGGGTAGCTCATGCCTGTAATCCCAGCTACTCAAAAGACAGAGATCAGGAGGATCGTGGTTCAAAGCCAGCCCACAAAAATAGTTCATGAGACCCTATCTTGAAAAAGTCCATCACAAAAAAGAACTGGTGGAGTGGCTCAAGGTATAGGTCCTGAGTTCAAACCCCAGAACCACAAAAAAAAAAAAACCTAAAAATTGACCTGCTTTATGACCTCACCATACAACTCCTAGGCATATATCCAAAGGAATGTAAATCAAAATACAGGAGAGGTATCTGCATACCCATGTTTTCCATGTTTATTGCAGCTCTGTTCACAGTAGCTAAACTGTGGAATCAGCTAAGCAAGTGATGAATGGAGAAAGAAAATATGGTACATATATACCATGGAATTTTACTCAGCCATAAAGAAAGATAAAATCAACGTACTGTCTCTCTATATATACATATATATGTAAACAGTATAAGAAACCAACCAAACACGTTTTGAAAAAGGGGGGAAGAAGAGGAAATGGGAATATAAAGGAGGGGTGAACTTGTTCAAAGAACACTGTACATATGTGTGGAATTATCATAATGAAACAATATGATATTATTAATGTATACTAATTCAAAAATATAATAAAACTATTAAAATTTTTAAAAAGAAAGCTAGCAAACAAAAGAAAAAAAAAAGAAACTTGTGCACACCCTTGCAAATTCTGGTACCTCAACTGCCATAAGAGAACTGCATGAGTGCACAATATTGATCTTGCTGATATTCACAAGTAAAAGTTATTAAGATTTGTCATTCATTTTAATTGACATTATTTGGAACCAGATATTTGTTCAACAGATGGCCAGAATAAGGTATCACATACACACACAAAAAAAATCATTCTCCTTCCTCAGGTTTTTAGCTTTTATGTTACATCTCATCAAAAGTTACTTCAAGAGATTGTGTATTTTGATGATTGCTTTTCTCTAATGTTGGTGGCAACTTGTAAGGAAGATAGCCAATAAATTTAATAACCTTAACAAAAGATGTAATTTGCATATAGCAAAGAATGCTATAGAGATTTAAATTAATGACACCTGTGAAGAACTGTTCAGGATACAACACTTGGTGATAGATGAAATGCCAGCTAATGATCATGATGAGAATTAGAAGTCTTACATAATTCTTAGCTGGCAATCCCTAGAGCCCTCATACAGTAGAGTAATAGTAATATGACTTAATGACTATCTACATATATAAGACAATATTCTTACTTCATAGTTGGGATTATCTTTTAAATTTTAGTAGAATATTAAAGAATAATCAAAATCAACAGTTGGACAACAAAATTGAAACTTGACTAATTCTGACATAAGCTTTCTGACTCTATAAGCCAAAAGATATGTCTAAAGTAAATGAAACAACTCCTTTGATTAAAGAAAGAGAAAAGATATGCAGATTGAAAAGAACTTTTAACTCTAAGTCTACGCTATCATTAAGTATACTTAGATTTATACTGTATAATTATTATGATTGTAGCAATTAATCAATCCACTGATTAACATGTAGGGTCAGCAAGATCCAGTGATCTCATCTTGAAGCTTGAATTAATTAATTATACTTACTTCAACATTATTATTTTCTATTTGTGTACCCAGTTTGTACAAGTTGCCCCATTGACAAAATGTGGTTTAGTCTCTGTACTTATCACAGCAGGTATGAGCACTCACAGAGGTACTTTTACTGATATAAACTCACAATTATAAGGAAACCAAAATATATTAAATGCTTCCTGAAATAATTGTTTTGTTATTTTCATCATTATATATTTTGTATAAATCAAACACATTAATGAGCTTCTTTTGATGGTTGTCAGCATTCAAAGAACTCTGTCAGAGTAAGTCAAATTTAACTATACTATTGTGTATTAAATAATAATTGTATTATCCATAAAACAGTGTATATTGCAAGAAATGTCTGTTCTGCTAAGTTTTTTCAAGATGTTTAAGAGTGCATTATTTCTGTTTGTTACATGAGGAAAATAAAGCACATAAAGTAGTTTGTCCAGAGCTTCCCAGGTAGCTAAAGGCAAATATGTTTTGAATGACTTCTTGAGAAGACACTGTCTTGAAAGGAGAGACAATAAGCTGAACCGAGTACCATGCGGCTGCCAAAGGATTCACAGTCCAACAGTGGAAATAGGCATTTGGTGAAATATATACAAGGGCAAGGTATGCAAGACTGTGAGAGCAGGAAGAAAAGATCGTCAATGTGATCTAGTCTACTGCTCATGGTATTTCAAGATGAGGTTCTCTTTTTGTTGTTTTTTAAGTTTTAGCAAGGATTCATTTTTACAGGATAAAGTACAGGCAAGGGTGAGGAAAAGAGACAGAAACAGTTCCTGTTCCCCACTCAGGAAATGGGAGCAAAGACTCCAAGATGAGGTTCTTGATGAAATGGTACCATATGAAAGAAGTGGTACACAAAAGTTAAAAAGAAAAAAAAAAGAAGGAAAGGTTGTGGTAGGACCTGTGCTTGAGTTAAAGCTGGCCTACCTTCCCTCTTCTTTTTCTTCTTCTTCTTCTTTTTCTTTTTTTTTTAACTATAAGCCACTTATTAACAGGGCTTGTCTCAGTTGGAGGCTCTGCCTTTTTGCTTACAGACTGTCTGACGCCTTTATAAAGTGGGCCACTGCATTGTTGATTACTATACACCAGGGTGGTCTGCAACACTGTTTTCTGCCATCCCACAGTGAGACACCATCTTCTGAAGTTCTGGTCTCATATGTCCTTAGAGAATGGTTTGTGTTTCCTAAGAAGCTTAAATCTGAATGATTTACATGCAGCATTTTAAACTCTGGTTGTGTAATGCCTGGAATGGGATTTAAATATTCTGACAACAGTTTCTCAGGTCTGTATATGACAGCTAGTTATGTATTATATTGTCTACTCTTGTTTATCCAAGAGACTGGAGAAAAGATGTTCATGTGATGCACGGCAACTAGAATCTAAACATCCTATATTCTACTGCAGAATAACACGATGCAGTAGGCTCTCTGGCCCCACACTATAATCTCATAGCTAAATGATTAAGTGTTTGTCAATCCAAAATAGTTGTGTTTGACTTTGATTTAAAAGAAAAAAGCAATTGGCACAAGATACGAAGTAGTTGGTTTCCTTCTGCCTGGTATGAGTTCATTTTCTCCCACCTACTCTTTTGCTTCTTTCCAAGTGAAACAACATATTTCCTGTATGTGAGAGCTTGTCAAATGATCATCAAAAAAATTCCAAAAGCAAGCTCAATCTGTGAATGAAAGAATTGAGATTTGTACCCACCTTCACAAGGATTAAAAGAAAAGGAATGCATGAAAATTCACAATAATATGATATGCCCCAACTCAGTATATCAGGAACATGGTATTGCATGTATAATACATGTGGTGGGTGTGAGATTTATCATTGCCTTAGTGTAAAAGAGGAATTAGCTTCCACTTGACTAGATGAGAGCTCTTAGTCCCTATTTTGAAAGCAATCAATTGAGTATGGTTAATTAGGATATCAGCAAGTAGTTAAAAAACGAAAAAAATAAGTAAGGCACTTATTGTAAAGTATACTTTAAACTGCTCACATTGCGGTGGTGATAGATGGATTACTAAAAGAATGCACCAAAGCCCTAGCTGTTAGATACTTTCTGCAAAAACACATTTTTCTTCAATTACAACGAATTATGATAGTTATTTTTTGTGGTGCTGCAGTACTGCCTTTATGGGAATCATTGAGTTATAAACAAAGAACACATTCCATTCCTTCCAGCAATAATTATAAGAGGACAAGCCAAAAGAACTCATTTGGGGAAAAAATTAATCTTTAATTCTGCTCTTATTCTGTCCATCAGAGCTCTTTTATCTCAATGTACAAATGTACATCATTTTTGTGTAATGTTAAATTACAATAAAAAGTCAAAATAACTAACAATATTAACTAGCTATCCAAAAATTCATATTGCACCATTTTATTCAAGATATGCTTACATATTGAAAGTGTCCCCACATCACAAGTTAACTTCTTCTCACTAATATGAAAAATGAGGTTCCATATCTTCACACAAACGTCCTCTTTATATATTCTGAAGTGTATTAGATTCTTTTCAAATAGTTTCAGAAATCTAACAGCCCAAGAGGGGTGAATATTAATCCTCAAAACATCAGTCCGCGCAGAGGAGAGCTGCTCCATCGCCTGGTAGTTCCATCTGTACACTAGTAAGATCAACAGTCGTCTTCCTAGCCCTGGGCAGGGTTAAACGTTAGCATGATTTAAGAGTTATTGTATAACAACCATTGATTGAGGAAAGTTTAGTATAATTTGTGTGCTTGAATGCATGAAAATACAAATGTTAGAATTTTACATGCATCTCCTAATTATTCAAATGAGGCATTAGGAAAAGTCTAAGTGTGAGTGGACAACAGGGTAACTCAAACTTTCACAAATATTTTTCTTCATTTGGGAGACTCTAACATTTTTCAGAGGTATCTGTTGGGTGTTTTTATGTCAAGGATAAAGACCAATTACCCCTTCTTCTTGTGTGTGAACCTTTAATGCTGTTGACACCCATATATTGAAGCTGAGCATGGGGAGTCTTTGCCTATTCATACAAATGAAATCATTGGGATTTTTCCTTTTTCCTCCTTTATTATAAAAATACTTCAATTCCCTTGAAAATAAATGAGAAGCTAGGTAAGAATCTGGATCATCAAAAATAAAAGCTTTAATTTCCATCTGA